TAAAGATTAATTTTCATTCTTGTTCGACACACTCATTGTCGTCATGAGTTTTCAATTGTTTTTCAAGTGTAAGTTTTCTTTAGTCACAACTGTACTGTCAAAAAAAGAAATTAGTATTAAAAATCACAACGGTATTACTGTGTAGCAAATCGGCTGTGTTTTATCAATCACAGGACTGAAGTAAAAGTAACAAACTGAAGGTGACAAATAAACGTGGCACTGTTAAGCTTTTTACTTTTTCTTTTGAAATAGATGCTCCCAACATTATAAGCTGTGCTCCAAAAATTTTCAGCTGTGAGCCTAAAATTTCGGCAGTGCGCCTAAAAATTTACATCTGGTAGCACAAGTGCTCCCAAACTCAAATTTAAGCTTTGAGCCCTGAAATGGCTCAATATTTTAATTATTTATTATCTTAAAGTACTTATTTGAGTTTTTATTCATGTGTAAATTCGAGTAAATCCTCGTCTGAGAGTTTTGGAATGGACGGAACAATTTTTTTAGCTTTCTTAAACTTGATATTTGAATTATATATTACCTTGGTATTTTAGTTTTCAGGATTGTTAGAATTTTAGTAGTTTCATAGGGCCATAAGTGAGACTACAGTGCGACTGTAGTTAATGCTGCCTATTGAAATGAAGTGTTTATCTTCTCTTAAGGCTACTTTAACGGGATTAACTGATGGCATTTGCGTTCTGCCAATAATATTAAAAATTATAGCCTGTGAACAGGCTCACTCACTGCTGTAAATAATTTTTCTTACTTGAAAGGACATATTCGAAAATTGGTCGGACATTAATTAGCACACTGTATTTAGTCGAATAAGCACCGCGGCACTCATGGCGTTTATTTGAACGTTGGACGTGCAAAGAATTGTTTTGACTATGATGTTGTTATTTGCCGTATTTAACTAACAGAATTAACCTCTTTTGATTTTCATTACAACGGGGCTCTTGGTGGCGCTTACTCAAGGGTGGGGCTAATTTGAGTAAATACGGTCATGCTTTCAACCTGGTTTCCCTCAAATCTCTTGATAGTACATGACTAGAAAACCCAAGCAATGATTCTTGGTAACCTCTTTCACGAACCTGTTATTCACATTGGAGACTGTTATTTTTTGAAAGAAAAAAACTTTCCTTCGATAATCTCATGATTCTAGACACAATTTGCAAAAATCTTAAGCGTTGAAGTCTTTGAAAAAGACCGCCGCTCGCAGGCTACCGCCCGGTTAGCTCAATGGGATAAGCGCCGGTCTGCTGAGCGTGAGGTCGCCGCGGGTTCAAACCCCGGCCGGACCAACACTCAGGGTTTTTAAATAACGGAGGAGAAAAAGTTGCCTTTTGTAATAACATCTGCAAACGGTTTGACCTTCTAGTCTTCTCGGATAAGGACAATAAACCGTAGGCCTCGTCTCACAAGCCCTTGCAAATGTAATAAATCTGTGGGACGTTAAAAAACCCACACACTCTTCGTAAAGAGTAGGGCACGTAGTGCCCGGCTTAGTGGTCTATCTCACTTTCACACTCATGTATGGGGGCATCATTATTCATTCCTTCATTACTTGTAAACTGCACCTAAGCAGTCTGGCAAAGTCTCCCAACCAGTGTTGTAAATTATCCCTGAAAAGCCCTAAGGGGAGTGGATAATAAGATATTTACAATTTACAATTTACAAATAGTCTAAATGAATGACGTCTTCCCGCCATTTGGCAAGTATAGTAAATTTTGCTTAAATGTGATTTGCTGGATGCCGGCGTAATTTAGGGAAATGAAATATTGGTCTAAAACGGTTTTCAAATTTAATTGATGTTTTGGGGAATGCTTTCTGCTGTTTTGCTACAACACTCTTATTTGTTACATTACATTATCGTACATGCTCATAACAAATTCACCACTGTTTTTTCTGGAGAAAAAGTGCCCAGGACACAGATAGTTTTGAAAATGGCAATTCAGTTCAATAAAAAAGAAATGCAACCAAAGCAGTGATATTTATTATATTGAAAATATTCCCAAAACCAGCAAAAATGCTGCACATGTCTTACCATGTGAATTTTTCTTAAAAGCACCCCTATAGTATTCAACTGAAATAATATGTTGTTGTTTATGGTTCACAGCCGGCTTCAAAGGTAGGCAGTCATCGTTTGCACCATTGTGAGGATATTTTCTTTCATCTCTCCCAATTCATAACTAAATTAACTTTTGAACAATGCCTTTTATTCTGGTTGTTGTTCAAACTGGCAAGAAATCGCGCGGAAAGCTTTCCTGTTCGTCCTACAAAGCTTTCTTCATCTTTCAGATCGTTGAAGTAAGCAGCCATTTTAGTTCCAAAGCATGTGCTTTCAGTTGCATAAATTAGATTTCCATTTATGGAAAGTAGAGCCCAGTAATTCCCTAACACAGAGAGCTGCTTCGTTTCGCCAGATAGGAAGACGAATACGATACGTGGACGTTTTCGAGTTTCCTACAAATAGAGTCTGTCGCCGGAGTGCAAAGTTTACTTTTATCATACCGGTTTACCTTTATGTTTTTGAAATCAAGTCGGGGATGTAAAAAACCTTCTAAGACAAGAGCTAAGTCAACTAAGTGCTCGGACATTATATCCGAACATATTGCAATATTAGTCGGACATTTACAGCATTTTGGTCGGACAATGTCCGATGTGCGACAGTAATTTCCACCACTGCTCACTTGTGCAAATACGTGGAAAATTATTAGCACCATACAGCGAGGTTCATTCCCTTGCGGGATGGTGGCTCCCAAAACTGTTCCCCGAACACGCGCAAGTGAGTCTGCTCGCAGGCTATAAAAATGTAATAAAAGGTAAAGAAAAAACAGACTCTTTGAGTGTCAATGTGTTTAGCACGAAAGCACTAAACGGACCAACCTTTTACGTTGTCATCGGAGCCACACGAATGTCCAGCCGCTTGTACTACAAAGAAGACGCTGAGTTTGGAACGTCAAGTTACTTACAGTCAAGGGACACAAGTATCCGTCACTTTCAATATGTTGGCGTTTGTTTACATTTTTCGCGCGCTAATTTTAACACCTTATTCGGTAAATCTAACGTTAAAATCGCCTCAATATTTAGTGAGATGACCCTTCATTTTAATTACATTGTCCAGGCGGTCAGGTATGGACTGGTAAAGGTTTCTTATATAATCCAATTCGATGTTCCGCCACATACTCTGGATTTCACGCGGAAGATCACTTTTGGTGGCAATGTTTACCACAGCAGGGTGCAAAGAAAGTCAGTTTTACAGCCTGCCATTCGGGCAAGCTGTAGCTAGCTTGTATTAGCCCACAAAACATTTCAGCTAGCCCCAAAACCCTTTTTGATTTTCAAAATTGATTACAATTCTTCTCTAATTTGAATTTCCTCAAAAAAACAGCACTTGCCCGTCGGGCAAGTTAAGAACAAAAATCACTAGACCGATAGCAAAATCTACTATTCCCGGGCTATCGGACACCACTTTCTTTGTACGCTGCACAGCAACTCTCTCTTCATGTAGAGCCAGATATTTTCTGTTATATTTAAATCCTGGTGATTGTGCTGGCCATTCCACTGAGGTTACTTCGTTTTGATCTTTATAATTGTATACAGTGTGGGCTCTGTGAACAGGCGCATTGTCATCCATGAACAAGTATTCTTTTCCTTCAAAATACCAGACAACTACTGGCCATACGTTCTTGTCTAGGATATCAATATACTTAGCAGAGTTAATGTTGCCTTCTACTGCAGTCAGAGGTCCAACACCATGATAACAAATACATCCCCAGATCATCAAACTTATCTTCCGTTCAGAGCAAGAACAAATAAGGTGTGGGTTGTACTTTTCGCCGTCTATTCGACAAATGTAAACACGGTTGTTTGTACCGAGCACAATCCGACTTTCATCTGAAAATATGACTTTTTTTTTCCAGTAGTTGTCTACTGTTCTACTTCCTCGCTCTTTAAACCACTTGACTCGCTTTTTTCGATTCGCTTCCCGAACCACTATGTTCTTTTTCGCTAACCTTCTTTTATATCCTTCCGAATGCACGGTTTTCTGGCTGAAAGTCTGTTTTGCACTCGTTCAGCTTTGCAGTAGTGTTCTGTAAGGTTAGATGTCTGTTACTTTTTACCAAACGCTTTAAAGCATTTCTGTCTCTATCTGTGAAGCTCTTTTTCCTTCCAATTCGCGTCAAAGTCTCCACTATGTCAGTTCTTCGATACTAGCTTAGAACACTTGTGATAGTCGTTCTTGGAATGTTCAACAGTCTTGACAGTTCCGCTTTGTTTTGCACGGATATGCGACAGAGTAACAGTTAATTCTTAGGTCTCTGTGGACAGTTCAGCACCTTTTCGACTCACGAGAACTAAAAATTAATTCTCAGAAGCAAAACCAAAAAAATACGAACATTTTTTTGCGACCTAACCTTCAAGGTAATGTTGAATGAGTGAATAAACGAGGTTTGAAAACACAAATAGCTCTTATTCCTTTTCTTTCGGAAACTATGCAATTTCGTTCGTACTCTTGGTCAGATGTTTGATTGTTTCTTTAGTTGCCAATTTTCCCGCCTTTATTGACCAAACGCGCACCCTGCATCGAGTTTTCATTGTTGACATTGTGCACAATAAGGGTAAAAATTTCGCTCCTCTTTTATGAAAGTGACGAATACTTAATTGTGTCCCCGATTATGAGCACATCAATTTGTAATTTTGATGGCCTTATCGAGAGCGCTTTTGAAGTTATAGCGGGGGGCATCTGAACCCCCTTCCCCAGGTTGCAGGAAGTAAAAAAGTCCAGTTTCAATTAACCGTTTTTGTCTCGTCACGCAATGCTGACGAGAACAAAAAACGGCTGCGACGGAGACTACGTTTGAATAGGGTTAATAAAAGAATGGATGTTGAGACTGTCTGTGAAACAAAAATTTAGCTTTTTGGTGTAAATTTGTAGAGAGCTGACTGTAAGTAGATCTCTGCATCCAGACAGTTAGTCTTACCTCAAGTTTTATTTGCTATTTCTTAGGAGTGATGTAAAGACCAGTTTGTACAAAGTATCTTTCCCTGGCTTTAGAAACATGAAGATCCAGTCGTTGGAGTCGACAGGTCAAGAAACCATTTTCAACTGCGTAAAGAGGATATTTCAGATGCCAGGAAATAGACGTCGGAAACCTCATTTGGAAAAAATGGTCGTTTTTAATGCAAACGGTGAGAATCTTAATGTTGGTCGGCCTGTTGGATTATTTTCCACGGAGGAAACCTATGAATGCTACTTTAAGAACAAAAACCTCGTGTTTAATCCAAGTGGCTTGTATCGCCTGTATGCTGTGGGAGACTACAACAGTGACTGGGAGGTTGGCTCTTTCGTTGTGTCATGTTCAGAAGGAAAGATTGCTCCTGGCGTCAGCGATTTTTCGAAGATCAACATTAACAAGATTAAGGTTGACTTCTTGAATGATGAAACAATTTTTGAAGCCTTGGCGAGAGACAACAGATTCAAAGAGGAAAAACTTCGAAGTTGCGGGGCAACTTTTGATCAGACACAAACACCTCTTTCATCAAAAGCTGCACACATTCAGGGCAAGGACATAGAACTTGTTTTTCTAAATGAGAAAGACAGTAACGTTCCCGAATCAGTCTCGCCAAGGCCTCACCCAAATCCTTCTGTGACCGCTGCAAGCATTAAACCAAAGCAGCTTGAGCAGATTGCTTCAGCTACATGTTCAGCTAGCTGTTTGACACCATTGCCAGTAGATTCAAGTACTCCAGTGACAGCAACACCATCTCTTAAGACGAGAGATAAGTCTGCCCGGTTGGTTGACATAAAATTTGATATCAAATGTAAAACATTAACTGTTGACAAAAATAGGGGGGAACTAGTCAAGCGGCGCAAGAAATTAGAAAACTTTGCGCTAAAGGAAGGCTGCAGCTGCTATGTTTTCGAACAGGAGGAACTCATTGAAATAGCTCAGTCAGTTGGGGCTATTTTCAAATTGGATCCTGCTGATCACCCGGTTTTGGTTGGGACCTGTTTTAGGATTGGTACGGAGTACATTATTACCAATAAACATGTCATGGATGGAATTACAAACATGGCAAAAGACCGCGTTTATGTTAATTTCAATTTTAAGAAAGCAGGGCAAGCGGATTCAAAGCGAAGTTTCATAAAAGGTGTACTGATATGTTCTGCGGAGCTGGATTATGCAATATTAAGAATGGAGAACTCCCATGAGCAGTTGCCGCCGTGCATTTTTTCACATGGTATCAGTATTATGAATCCGGCGTCCCCAGACAGCAACTGGTCCGTGCTAGATGACAAGTTCCTCAGACTCATCGGCCACCCACGAGAAGAACCAAAACAGATAGACCTGATGTGTACTATAAATGCACGTCCTCAGAGCGGCCTTGAGTGTTGGTGTTATACTTTGCGAAGGGGAGAGGAGTTTGAGGGTGAAGCAGTGAAAAATTACAATGAAGGCAAGGACCGCCGAAGAAGAACTTACCAAAGCAGCAACTTTTTTCACGGGTCCTCCGGCTCTCCGGGCATCGTGTGTCTTAATGGCAAAAAGTGGCTGGTAGTTCTTCACGCCAGAGGGTTTAGGGATGACAAGGACAACTTTTTTGTCGAACAAGGCGTGCTTCTCACAGAAATATACAAAGATGTCCAAAAACAAATCAACGAAGCCCAGCGAGACCAATTGAAGGATATCCGTGTGGAGGACCTGTTTCCCTCAGTAGATTGTGCTATACAGGCTTGTTGGGGTGAACCTATGGAACACTGAACAATGAACAATCATGTAAAGGACAACAGCGGTCACCTAAGTATCTGTTATTGTAACAATGTTGCTATTAATGACCTACACCGTTATTACTAAACTGAGCTTAACTGCGAATACGAATGCTTCTCATCGCTGGGAGCGAAACGTCCCAGCAACGTAGATCGATTAGAGGTGGCTGTTTTCGCAGGGTAGATAATTAGCTAAATACCACCAGATAAGCGACAGCAAGTGACTTAGGTTAAGGAAGAATATAATTATTAAGAACTGTTTGTAGTTTTGTACAATGATAGAACTGCTGTTATTAAGTTAATTGCGTCGTAAATGTTGGTGTCAACATTGAACATTATTTTAGATTTTAAATGAAGAAAAACAGTTCTTTCTTTAGTAGGCTAGTAACAAATGAGCTGGGGTAGTTACACTGAGGTTTATAGTTTTAACTCATGTTAGGGTTAGACTTGTTTCGTGTCATTTGAACGGCTTAAGCCTTTGTAGCCGGTAAAAAAGCTGGGTGGAAAGCAAACCACAATCGTAATGTCATTGATAGCAATTAATAGAATAATGAATATATCAAAATAGATCAACCATAAATATCAGGCATCGGGTGAAATGGTCGGACATTCACGCATATCAATGAGCCATTGAGGCTGACTAATCAGGCATGAATCCACCAAGAAAGCGGCATAATACTAGAGAAAACGGGCAATTTTGGCGTAGCAGAGTGACTAAAATTGTCATTTCGGTTGTTAAAAAGATGACTTCTTTGACATTATATAGCGGATTCTTTAAGTTAAAGGATTAATCTATCATTCCAGCTAAACTTTGAGTAAAATAAATGTAAGAGAATCCCTCTATAAAATAAGCTAGTTAGACGTTGAACAAATAGAATTTTCGTTATATTGTGATTGGATTTTGCAGAAAGTTTGACTCAATATTTTTTAAAGCCAAATGTGACAGCTGCAATAAAGTAAGCTCTAATAAGTTGTTTAAACATTGTTTTAAGGTCATAGGCGAAATAAATAGTTTAGCAAATTGTAAAAGAGGTTATGGGGGCATCAAGTCTAATGGCAACCATTCAAAATAAAATGAATTTATTTTCGTTATATTTTGATCGGATTTTTAAGGACGAAACACATTTTCTTATCTCTAGTGAGCGTAAAATATAGTTGGCTTTTTGGAACCAAATGGTAAA